CCCATCAACAGCAAGGTGTAGCAGAACGGATGAACAGGACACTTCAAGCCACCATGCGCAAGCTGCTACGTGGCATGCATCTGCCCAACCACCAGTGGCCCGAAGCAATGGACCACGCCGTCATGCTGCACAACTTGCTCTCGTCATCATCGCTCCCGAACAACGCATCACCGCACCTGCTGTGGACAGGAAAATTGGGCAGCACAAAAATGTTACGAGTTTTCGGGTGCATGGTACAGTACCGACCACCATCTGCACGCGCCGGTCGATTCTCCCAACGAGCACAGTGGGGACTACACCTGGGCATCGAAAAACACCACAACGCATGGAAAATCTTCGACATCAACAGCAAGGAAACAGTCGCAGCACGTGATGTCATCTTCTACGAACACCTCACCCTCGACGTTCATCTCGCGTACGTCAGAGCCAACAGACCTGACCTCACGGGCGGATTCACTGGCACCCGAGCCTTCGCCTCGGCAGAAGACGAAGCTGACTGGGACGAGCAGAACGTGGACCAAGCCTTGGAAGAAGCCGGACCTCTTCCCTACTGCCCAGTGGACGTACCAATGGACGACGAAGACCCACGCGAAAGCATCAACGCCGAAGTTTACTACCATTTCGCCGACAACGGTTATGTTACACCTGCTGAAGTCAACACCAACGAAGCAGAACGCGTAGGACCCAACTTCGCACCTGATCCAGAAGCTGGAGACGAAGCAGTCTATCCCGAGGACACCACACTCCCCCGCTACACACAGAGTGGACTCCAAATCCTTGGCCTCGTCACCGCAGTCCACGGCGCCGCCATTCCTAAGGAGCCTGCGACAGTTCAACAGGCTCTGGGGGGGGAGCACAGGGAAAAATGGCGCGAAGCCATGGACAGAGAGCTGAAGGCGTTAGAAGAACGCAACACCTGGAAGGTCGTCCCTATCGGCGTAGCACGAAACAAGACCATACTCACCGGAAAATGGGTCTTCCGCGTGAAGACGAAAGCTGACGGCACCATCGACAAATTCAAAGCACGCTGGGTCGTGCGCGGCTTCGACCAGGAGCACGGACGTGACTTCACCGAAACCTTCGCTCCGGTCAGCCGCCACACTTCACTGCGAATTCTCCTCGCGATCGCCGCCATGAAGAAGAAGAAGCTGCGACAAATCGACGTCGCAAATGCTTTTCTCTACGCACCTGTTGACGCAGAGATTTTTGTGGAGCTACCACACGGCTCCAACACAGACTCCACGCATGTCTGCCAGCTGCTAAAATCACTCTACGGGATCAAACAGGCCCCGCGACTATGGCAACAGTACCTACACGCTCGCCTCATCCGCATCGGCTTCAAGCAACTCCCACACGATCAAGGGATGTATCGCCTCACGAAGAACGACGACTACGTTCTACTAATCGTCTACGTGGACGACCTCCTCTACATCGGGTCAAACGACGGTATCACTACCTGGTTCGAAGGGGAGCTGCAGCAAGATCTCACGCTCACGGTCTCGGCTACCGTCACTCAATACCTCGGCCTCAACATTCGAGAAGAAGAAGACGCGATCTACCTCAGCGCCGAGAAGTACGCCGACACCATCGCCAAACGCTTCGGTCTCACGCCGGCCGCGATCTCAACGCCATACCGCTACACGACAGGAACCGACAAGGGAAGATCCACTTTACTCAAGCCCGCCGGCATACGTGACTATCAGAGGAAGCTAGGTTGCCTCCTCTTCGCAGCTGTTACCTGCCGTCCCGACCTCTCATACTCCGCAAGTCAGCTCGCTACCTACCTCAAGAAGCCCGAAACAGAACACCTGGCGGAGCTCGACCGCGCTCTTCACTACTTCATCAGCACCCCGACGATCGGCCTAACCTACCACAAGAACGCAACTACACCGACCAAACTAATCGGCTACGTCGACGCCGATCACGCCGGCGACTCCGACAACAGGCGCTCACGCACCGGCTACGTTTACCGCCTCGAACCTATCGGTCCTATCTCCTGGCAGTCGAGCAAGCAGGAGTTAATCGCGAAGGGGAGACTTCAGCTGTCATACTGCCCCACGTCCGAGATGGCAGCCGACTATTTGACCAAGAAGCTCGGAAAGCAGAAGTTCGAGTACTGCATGCTGCTGACTGGACAGGGCCACGTCATCAGCAGCGACACTCCAGAAGCGAAGGGGAGTGTTGGAAACAGTGAAACTTAAGCGCTTCAGTCGTGTCGAAACATCGCACCAGAAGTGAAGCAAGCAGTACCGAAGCAAACGCGAGTCAACCCTCGGAGGTTGAGAGGTTGCTGGAGGTTACGCGAAAGTCAAAGGTCAAGCGACCTTTGACCTGACAAATACAACGCGACAGTTAAGGACACACAACTGACTCGTTACAGAGCAGTTGCCCGAGTCGTATTGTATCGAACCGCAACAGCAACAGTAAAAGTAGTTACAACTGCATCCATTCATATTCCTTGTATCAATATATAATCTTGTTCTTCTTCAATATAATCAATCTACTTTGCCCTCACATACTAGCGCAAGGTGGTTCACAATCCTTCATTAAGCTTCCGCTGTTACAACATTATCCTACCCAGAGTTCTCCCTTGAAAAGATCCTAAGGGGCTATCTCAGCCCAACACACATCAGGCTTACACCTGAGAGCAGTCGTGTGCCCCTCGTCTTTATTATACATTTATTGGAAAGAATATGCACAGCAGGCTCGCACTCCACCCTGTACACCAATGCAGCCTCTTGTGCGGTTGCAATCAGCTTGTGGGCCACCCACACAGTTGTTCAAACCCCATCCACTGTGCCGCCTCCTCCATCCATCTCCTATCTTAATAGAATTCTCAGGCCCGGCTTGTCCCTCGGAGCAGTTGCAGTCAGCTTGTGGGCGACCCGCACACTTGTTCGAACCCCATCCACTCTGCCTCCTGCTCCCCCCACCTCCTTCCCTCGCCACTCGTGCGCACCGGCTGCAGCTTCCTCCTCTCCAACTCCAGAAACATCTGCTCCTTTTCGCACTCCCTCTCTCGCTCCAACTCCCGCTGCCTCACCTGCGATACATTCATCGCACACTCCCTCGCACACGCCTGCTGTCCAAAGCCCCTCACAACCGCCCCAGCTGTTGCTGGCATGCAGTTGCTGCTGCTGCTGCTGCTGCTGTGTTCCACGGGTGGATGGCTGAGTGCAGGAGCAGGAATGCAAACAGGTGACACAGCAGCAGGTGTGAAGGCAGGTGAGACGGCTGCTGGGGTGCAAGCAGGGGTCCAGAAGGGCGTGTGGAGGGAGGGAGTGGTGACAGAGGGGGTGCAGGTGGAGGGAGAGGAGGAGGACGGGGAGATGAGAGGCGGGATGGAGGAGGGAGAGGGGAGGTGGGAGCCTGAGGCGGATGGTGACTTGAGGGGTTGTGAGAGAGTAGGGGACGGGAGTGCGCAGGAGAGGGACTGCTGCTGCTGATGTTGCTGCTGCTGGTACTGCTGGTGCTGCTGGTGCTGCTGGTGGTTGTTCCTGAGACGAGATGGGTCGGAAGAGCGGGATGCAGAAGGCTGAATCGCGATACCTGCGATGACTTGATGTTGACAATGGCTGCGCAACAGCTTGCTGCTGCTGCTGCTCGTGCTGCTGTGCATTCACGAGCTTATGCCACTGCTGTTGATGCTGCCATTGCTGCTCATCCTGCTGCTCGTTCTCCCGCTCCTTCCCCCCCATCCCTCCAACACTCGTTCTCTCCTCCACACGCCCCACCGCCCACTCCCTCCCGAAGCCACTCCTCTCTTCCCCGTCCTCCCCTGCACACTGGCAACAGCTCCATTGGTGGCTGGCTGCAGGGCGGAGCTGGGAGATGAAGCGACAGAGAGCAGGGAGGAGCGTGTGGGGCCGTTCTTCTGTCACCAGCGACCCACACGCCTCCACCTCCACCCACACCACGCTCCTTCTGCTGCTGCTGCTGCTGCTGCTGCTGCTGCTGCTGCTGCTGCTGCTGCTGCTGCTGCCTCCTTCACCTTCGCACCTGCTGCTGCTGTCCCAGTCACTTCCGCAGCAGCTGCTGCTGCTCCCCTCACCTGCACACCTTCTGCTCTCTTCCTCACTCGCCCTCCCACACTCACTCACACTCCCCTCCTCCCATTCCCGTTCCTCCATCCCTGTCCATCTCTCCTCCCTGCCTCCATCCCTCTCCCCGTCCACAGCCAGCGTAACGGCACTTTTATTCCCCATCCTCCTTCCTCCCATCCCGCCGCACTCAGCCACTGCCGCCAACCCACCCCTGCCCCTTCTGCACCTCACATCCCTCCCACCCTCCGCTTCCCCATCTGCCAACCCCCACTCCCCCTCAGAAAAAAAGTCAGAGTGAGAGTGAGACGGCGAGCGCGAGGGAGAGGAGGAGGGCGAGGGAGATGGAGAAGCAGTTGAGGAGGAGCAAGCAGAGGCGCCAGGACAAAGCAGCGGATTTTCATAAGAAGCAGAAGAGGTCTTGGAGTGCAGGTGGTGGAAGGCTGTGCGAGCGAGGGGGTTGAAGGGGGATGAATCTCCCACGGCCAGCAGCACTGGCACCTGCAGCGCCGCCAGCCCAGGTAGCAGGTTCCTTCGCCTGGTGGCAATGGGGGAGAAGATGCGGGAGTGAAGGGGAATGGGCGTTGAAAGGGGGGAAAGGGGTGCTGGTGGATGAGAGAGGAGAAAAAAGCGTGCAGGGTTTGATATGCAGAGGAAGCGAGTGAGAGTAGGAGAGCGAGGAGCGGGGAGAGTGGAAGTGCGTATGCACGGGGCATTGGACGTGCGTGTGGCACATGTGAATGGCATAGGCATGGGCATAGGCATGGAAGTACCTCTGAATGGCGTAGAAGTAGCGCATGAGATTCTCTGGCTCGTGATAATCCAACTCCTGAGAGAGAGAAAGGTAAGAGAAAGGGAGAGAGAAGAATCTAAGAGAAAACAGAGAAAACAAACAACCCGGAAAGGAGAGGGACGTCTCATAAGGACGAGTTTTACCACGTCTCAAACAAGCATGCAGTGATGGTGGCCTCAACTATGAGCAGGCGGGCGCAAGTCGCATCACGTGACGGCAAGGCCCCTGTACTCCCCACTCTTGAGCAGACCTTCCCCTGATACATTCCCAGCAGACTCACCCTGCGGAATGACATGAGCGCATCTGATGCCGGCCCGTGGAAGCCTGACGTCGCCTGCAGGACACACGTGGAGAGCGCGGGGAGGTGGGAAGAGGGGAGAAGGGGAGAGGGGAGAGGGGGAGAGCGTGGAGGTGGGGAGAGGAGGAGAGGGGGACGGGGAGGGGAAGGAGGAGGAGGAGGAGGAGGAGGAGGAGGAGGAGGAGGAGGAGGAGGAGGAGGAGGAGGAGGAGGAGGAGGAGGAGGAGGAGGAGGAGGAGGAGGAGGAGGAGGAGGATGAGGATGGAGAGGGGATAAGAACCATGCGGCAGCATGTGAGTCAGGAGAACGGGCGTGGAAGGTCAAGAATGGACGTGGGGGGAATGGGGCAGGAAACCATGAAGGCGGAATAGATATGAGCAGGAGCGAGCGAGGGACGAGTAGCGGGACGCGAGAAGTGAGAGGGACGTACGGGGCAGAAGTATCGATCAAAGAGCGAGTCCTTGATGTATGGCGTCATGCCGTAGTAGGAGAGCACGCTCATCGTCACCTGCTCCCATGGTGGTGTTGCGCCCGGCAGGTATGTATGACAAGGGAGAGACAAACACGAGGGAAAACACAGTAAGTTCGTCAAAGTTTGGGGAATCGGTCCAGCCAGCACTCACTCTGTGGTGCAGCAGAATTAGATATAGCATCATTCTATAGGCTATTGTATCACACTATATGCCATATTGTGTGCCTCACTAATCCTATTAACGCACACCTCACTGCACGCATTACTGCACACTGCACGCCGCACCATTTTAAGCCCTCTCCTTGATCGATCAGATCAGTGCATGCTGCGCGTCTCATGCCAGTCCGTGGCTCACCTTGTTGTGCGCCCACTCGGACCACGAGGGCGGCGAGAGCAGAGGAGACACGAGGATGAGCCCGCGCACCAGATGCCGGTGAGATATCTGCGGGCGCAGTGGCAGGGGTGTAGTGTTGGGGGGGAAGGGATGGGAGGAGTGAGAAAGGTGAAGGGAGGAGAAGGACAGGACACATGGCACGAGAATGAGCCCTTGCACAAGATGTGGGTGGGATAGCTGAGGGTGCGGCGGCAGGAGTGAGACGGAGGGGCAAGGTGGGGGGACGAAGGGGAGGGAGGGAAAGAGGGACGGGCGGGCGGACGGCGGCAGGCAAGGCAAGCCAGCAAGCAGGCGGGCAGTGCAGGCGGGCGGGCAGGCGGGCGGGCGGGCAGGGAGGCAATGAGGCAGGGAGGGAGCGACGCAGGGAGGCAGCGAGGGCGTACAGCGAAGAGCGTGAGGACGTAGGCGCCTGCAGTGACGCCCATCAGCGTGACGTCCGCGAGCGCGAAGTGCCGCGCCACCTCCGCCACCTGCTCCGCCAGGTCGTCCGCGGAGAGCAGCGCGCGCGACGAGGGGATCTCCTCCGCGTCCTCCTGGAAAGGGTGGAAGTAAAGGTGCGGCGGAGGGGGGGGGGGAGGGGAGGGTGGGGTTGTTGGTCCGGGAACACAATGAGGCGCCACCTCCGCCACCTCCTGCGCCAGATCGTCCGCGGAGAGCAGCGGGCGCGACGTAGGGAGATGGGGAGGGGGGAGTGGGTGGGGAAGGGGGAGGAAGGTCCAGGTACACCATTAGGCGCGTCACGATGTGGCCGCGCACATCAACGGGCGCAACGACGGCATCTCCTCTGCGTCCTCCTGCGCGCGGCGCACGGGGTGGGGGAGGGGCGGGGTTGGAGGTAGGTCCGGGTAGACTATGCGTCGCCTTAAGATCTGTCAGCGCACAGCAGCGGGTGTGATGAGGGGATTTCCTCCGCGCCCTCCTGCGCGCGGCGCAGAAGGAGTACGGGGAACAGCGTATGGGGACAGCGAGAGCGGATGACGACACAACTCTTCACAAGAGCGTCGCCGTTTTTCCCGTCGTAAGATACGAGATCTGCAAGGAACTGACGGATCCCTTTAAGACAGACAGCCCGGGAAGACCGTTCTTACCTCGTGACCCGGCGCGTCGACGTGGAATATGCAGAAGTTTCGAAGAAGCAGCGCGGAAGTGTCCGCGCAAAGCATGAGGCCTTGGAAGCACGTGGAATCTGACGCGCGGAGGGGGGGATGAGGGATGGCGGGGATGGGAGGGTGAGATGGGGGGAGGTGTCCGCGCAGAGCATGAGGCCTTGAAAGCACGTGGTATTCGACAAGTGGAGGGTGGGATGGGGGAGAGCGGGGACGGGAGAGTGAGATGGGGGGGTATTGGGGAGGCCTTGGAAACACGTGGAATCTGACGCGCGGAGGTTGGGGAGAGCAAGAACGCAGGTAAGCTCTCACAATTGCGTCGTGATAAGTTATGAGAGGGACTTACGATTGAGGCCGACGTCGTGATAAGTTATAAGCGGCGGGTTGCCGCGATCGCCGCACACCGTCACTTGCACGACGCTCGTTGCCGTCTGCACTCGCTCGACCTGACAGCGAGGCGGATTGGGATGGAACGAGAGCACGGAGGAAATGGAGAGAGCGGGTGGGAAGGAAAACAGGGGAACCGGAGTGGCAGGAGACGGGTTAGTGCGACAGCTAGCGCGAAACGGTTAGGAGATGGGTTGGCTTTAGAGTCGACTCAAAACCAGACGGGCAGCAGGATCTCCGTACTGGGTCGCTCGCACGGACTGTACACGTCGACGTTTACTCGGGAAGGAGACTGAGTGGGAAGGCGGGTGGATGAGAGGGGAGCAAAGGAACTCGGGCGACATAAGAGCGCGGTCTAATCTGAAGCGTGATGGTGTCAAATCCGTTGACCACTCTACAAAGCTTCAGCCAACATGAAAAACGTCACCGGATCTAACACGCGGAATATGGAAAACGCCACCGGAGCTATCTCAAACTTCCACTGAAGCCATGCTACTACGCGACGGACAAGATTCTTCAAGAATCCTGACGTTCAATATACGCCCTAGTTGAAAGCCTCCCTGGAGCGTGGAATCTGAAACACGCCTCAGCAACAAGAGAGCCTCTATTCACGTGCTGCCTCCAGAGGCGCCTCATAAGCCTTTTACTACGCACATGCTGCTCCCAGGGAAGCGACTCGTCGTCGTCGACCACGTAACCGATTTCGTCCTCTTCGTAAACGCAATCGTCGACGTGGAATCCGCCGTCGTCGGCTTCAAGCAGCCACGCGTTGTTGCTCCAATCCTCCATCCTCGCCTTCGGAGGTCGAGAAGCTCGAAATAAGAAATAAGTTAACTTACTCGGTTCTAATGTCACAGCCCTTTGCGCTACTCCTGTTCGGGTAAGCTAAAAGCTAAACCGTCGAATCCTAGTCCATGGGTGGGGACTCTTCCAGGCGGGCACCGAAGCAACATAGCAGTGATCTAGCTCCAAATAATTCAAGTTCAGATGGGGTGCTGTGATTATTGATGGAAACGAACCCTTGGGATTGTCGGTCGGATGGAGAACGGTTGAGCCTTGAAATGAGAACGTTGTTCTGGGGGAGGTGAGGTGAGGGGGAGGAAGGGGGAAGGGGAGGAGGGCGGCGGGGGGAGGCGAGGCGAGGGCGAAATCGCGCGCATCGGCGGAAATCGTGTTTGTCTCAAAAGAATCGACCCAAATTGCTCCCCGCTCGCCACGTGGGCGTTTTTCTCAATTGATTCGACCCCCTTTCCCCCCGCCCCCTCACCCCGTTTTTCCCGCCCTTGCCCTCCGAAATTCGGGCACCCGCTGGAATTTCGTGAAATCACAAAGAGTCACGAACATGTTTTTTCGTAACGCTAAGATTTCAACATGCGAGCGACATCTGATTGGACAGAACACCTATGACTTTTAGTGATAAATTTAGCAGTAATACGGATTTCATTAATTATGTGCCACTGCAGTAACATATTTTTTTTAATCTTTGTAATACGAGTAAATATTTGTTTCTTAAAGGTATCAAGAAGTACAATCAAACAAAGTATCTACCTATTTAAAAAGAAATTTATTTTTATTTGCATTGGAGTGATTATTATTGTAATGTTTTTGAAATTTAACTCTTAGTTTTTTATGTTTCATGGAAGAAGCTTCATGTAGATATATAAAACATAAAGAAGTATAGGTTTATTTGTCATGTGTTTTTTTGCGCCCCTATCTACATTACTGGCATGGGCTAATCCAAAAAAATACGATACAATCAGCGTGCATATGAGGATCCTGAGATTGAGAAGCAACCGTCGAAATTATCGATTGCGAAAGCTGATGTGGCATGCCACAACTACATGGTGGATTTGGCATGATGTAAAAAGCATGTATTCGTGACTTTTTTTTATTTTACCAAATTCTAGCGGGTGCCCGAATTTCGGAGGGCAAGGGCGGGAAAAACGGGGTGGGGGGGCGGGGGGAAAGGGGGTCGAATCAATTGAGAAAAACGCCCACGTGGCGAGCGGGGAGCAATTTGGGTCGATTCTTTTGAGACAAACACGATTTCCGCCGATGCGCGCGATTTCGCCCGAGGCGAGGCGAGGTGACGGGGGCGGACGAGGCGCGCTGTCGTCGTGTGACTGTCAGGTCAGATGGCGGGGGAGGGAAGGAAGCGGGAGGCCAAGGGGGAGAGGAGGGGGCGTTGGCGGGGGGTCAAGCTGTGGAGGGATTCACGTCAGCACCAATAATGGCGGAATATCTGCGGGTTTTAGATGGCTGCAGAATGGTTGGGTAGCTTGCTTGGGATGCCTGCCTGCTCACTGCACCCCCTGGCTCCCCGAGCTGATGAGGCTGTGCTGGGCAGAAGCGTGAAATTTTCGCGGAGACATGGGAAGCGCTTAGGGGGCGGCGTGTCGTTTCGTGATTATTGGTTGTCTTGGGAATGTCATCGTCGTTCCTCAGCGCCAGCCTGCCCTCGTCGCTTTTCCCACACTTCAGGGATGGCGGTGGGGGAGTTCAAGTCAAGAGTAACCCTAGCTTCCTTGCTTGACCACACCAGTTTCCCAGGGTAAATTTTCAGCCTACCATGGACCTCGATGTACAGCTGAACTGACTGCTTCAATTTGACTTGTCGAGTTGTCAGGGTAGTCAGAGCAGAACACCTTTTTGTATGGTTGTGACGTGGTGGGTGCACCTGTCTACAGTAATCGACTCTCAGCTATCGTTCCAGCCCGTTTTCCTCGAGTCAGCCCAAATACGCAGAGCTGGCCGTACAACGGAGTGTTTCTGCAAAAAGACGAGAAGCACTAGTGTTCTCTAGTCAATCTATGACCCTCGGGTCAATCTTCACCTCGTACTCTCTAGAAATGAAGTTTTTTGAAAGTGTGTAACACTTTCTAAAAATGTGTATTTTGAAAGCGAAGCTGCTTGTAATGCAGCAATGGCAACCGCGAAGTGCTAGACGCTCTTCGCCAACTATATAGCAGGGGGTGGAGGCCATTTGGCCTCCACCCACGTCTTCATTTGAAATTTCAACTGCATTATTTCATTCTCGTCCGACTACCTGGTGCTTCTCGCTTTCCTCAGTCCCTTGCTTTTCTCAAGAAATAGTAGGCAAGCTAGGTTGACCTAGCAATACGAGTTTCAAAAATGACCAGCGGGTACATCCGTCCCTACAATAGGTGCGCATGTTGGGGCTAATAGGGCGATAGCGCCACTGGCGCGCGTGGTGACGAAATCGCCACAGGCGAGTGTGGCGACGAAATCGCCACAGGCGCGCGTGGCGACGAGATCGCCACAGGCGCGCGTGGCGACGAGATCGCCACAGGCGCGCGTGGTGAAATCGCCAACGGCGCAATTGGCGCCAGGGGCGCTCATGGCGCCGAAATGGTCAAGATTGCCTCTGGCGCATGTGGCTACGAAATCGCCAGTGGCGCGCCAGAAACGAACTGGCATGGCAGATGCGCTTTTGTTGCTGAAATTCGTCTATGGAACACCTGTTACTTCGCAAATGTTCCCTTCATTTTTTTTTCCCTTTATACATATGTTCGGTTTTTGGCTTGTCTTCGTTTTCAGTCGTGCTATTTCTTAATTTTTGGTCGCAGTAAATTAGTGCGAGGCAACTACCACAGCATTGCGTCGCCTTCAGAGACCATCTGCCAAGAGAAACTACGGCAAACATCTGGTACAACTCTGTGCGCTCCCGTGGGAGATTGGGACACCCCCGGGGGGTCCCGCGCGAGCCAGAAAAGGACTGGTGGGTCCTGTGTGGTGCAGGCCAGCGGGCTCCCAAGGGGGGAGGAGGACCGGTGGGTCCTGTGCGGTGCTGGCCAGCGAGCTCCCCAGGGGGGAGGAGGACCGGTGGGTCCTGTGCGGTGCTGGCCAGCGAGCTCCCCAGGGGGGAGGAGGACCGGTGGGTCCTGTGCGGTGCTGGCCAGCGAGCTCCCCAGGGGGGAGGAGGACCGGTGGGTCCTGTGCGGTGCTGGCCAGCGAGCTCCCCAGGGGGGAGGAGGACCGGTGGGTCCTGTGCGGTGCTGGCCAGCGAGCTCCCCAGGGGGGAGGAGGACCGGTGGGTCCTGTGCGGTGCTGGCCAGCGAGCTCCCCAGGGGGGAGGAGGACCGGTGGGTCCTGTGCGGTGCTGGCCAGCGAGCTCCCCAGGGGGGAGGAGGACCGGTGGGTCCTGTGCGGTGCTGGCCAGCGAGCTCCCCAGGGGGGAGGAGGACCGGTGGGTCCTGTGCGGTGCTGGCCAGCGAGCTCCCCAGGGGGGAGGAGGACCGGTGGGTCCTGTGCGGTGCTGGCCAGCGAGCTCCCCAGGGGGGAGGAGGACCGGTGGGTCCTGTGCGGTGCTGGCCAGCGAGCTCCCCAGGGGGGAGGAGGACCGGTGGGTCCTGTGCGGTGCTGGCCAGCGAGCTCCCCAGGGGGGAGGAGGACCGGTGGGTCCTGTGCGGTGCTGGCCAGCGAGCTCCCCAGGGGGGAGGAGGACCGGTGGGTCCTGTGCGGTGCTGGCCAGCGAGCTCCCCAGGGGGGAGGAGGACCGGTGGGTCCTGTGCGGTGCTGGCCAGCGAGCTCCCCAGGGGGGAGGAGGACCGGTGGGTCCTGTGCGGTGCTGGCCAGCGAGCTCCCCAGGGGGGAGGAGGACCGGTGGGTCCTGTGCGGTGCTGGCCAGCGAGCTCCCCAGGGGGGAGGAGGACCGGTGGGTCCTGTGCGGTGCTGGCCAGCGAGCTCCCCAGGGGGGAAGAGGGCTGGTGGGTCCTTTTTGGTCTGTGGGTCATTTGTAAGGTAGATTAATGGTTGTGCAGTCTTTGTAATACTTTGCAATTCCCTTATGATGAGCCCTTACAGTGCAAGGTTGGGATGCGGTCACACTTGAGTTGGTGGATTGAACAAACGTGGTGAGTCTGAAATGGTGCACAACTCTAGCAGATCATACCTATACTCATTGGGAAAAATAAAAGAAGAATAATAATAAATAAATAACCACGCAGGGCTTAAACGCCGGCAGATTCATCTGGATACCAGAAAGTTGTCAACAAGACTAGGCAAGAATGATTGAAAGGAGAGGGGTTTCACTAGCAGCAGTTGGGGTACATATAGCAAACCCTAACTGGGTTGTACTCGCTATAGAGCACCCCACTACAGGCTAGACAATAATAACATTCTGACACACCCCCATAGCCAAAGTGGGGTGTAATCAGTACAATGAGCAGGCATAGCAATAGTTCACAATTATAAGCAAAGCTAGAGGTGATCATAGAGGGCAAGTGAGGAGGAGGAGAAACTGTGAGGGCGAGAAGATGAAAGGCGCCGACTGAAGCTGCAGACACACGGGCAACAGGAGCGGCGCGCACAGTGGCTACCGAGC